AAATTGAACTCCCTCCAGTCTTCCGCGCACAAAAGCAGAGCACCTATCTACTACACTACCACCACAGAAACTGGTATTCTCTCTATGCTCTCTCTCTCCACATTTCACACAGGCTTACAACAGACAGGGTCAAGAAATAATACAACACGTATTATACATTGTATTTATACACAGAAGGCACCAAATATACATTGTATTGTATTTATACACAGAAGGCACCAAATATACATTGTATTGTATTTATACACAGAAGGCACCAAATATACATTGTATTGTATTTATACACAGAAGGCACCAAATATACATTGTATTGTATTTATACACAGAAGGCACCAAATATACATTGTATTGTATTTATACACAGAAGGCACCAAATATACATTGTATTGTATTTATACACAGAAGGCACCAAATATACATTGTATTGTATTTATACACAACAAAGGGCCAAAAAAATGTATAAAATTTGTTCACCCAATAAAGAATCCAAACGGCACACATTTGTCATATTATATATAATGTACACGTTTGCTATGTATACAAACTGTTACAAAAAATACCTTCATTAAAAATGTCGCCTAGAACAAAAGGTCGAGCTGCCGCATGAAGCATCTTATTTCTTACATCATAACGTATGCCGGGGTTTTTATCACGCATGAGGTCTGAATTTGTGGATTTTTAAAAGAAATCTGTGAATTCAAGTCGATCGCGAAATGTTAGAAGAGGAGCTAGTGCTTCATTAACTCTTTATCTCCAGCCGCTCACGGTCAGAACCACTGTGCCGGTGAGTCGGTGAGTCGCTGACAGCGGCCCAGGCACATTCCTTTACAACGACTTCAACATCAAATTACTTTTCGGCAATTGCCGAAAACAGGTCTCTTTTATCGGAAGTTCGTTCATTAATTCATTAGATGAAGAACTATCGAAATATAGGTTTGTTAGTTTCGATTTAATGACCAATTTAATGACGTTTTTGTCAGTTTTAGATTAGCACAAAAAAAAAGGGCCCCAGCGTAGTGGGTTTACCTCCCTTGGAGATAAAGAGTTAAGACACACGTGACGCTGAGCGACCCCAAATCGGAAATTAAAGACAGTTGAAAAAAAATGAAATAGGCACAGTGAAGGGAAGAAAAATACATATTTTAAAAAAAGCATACGACTCAAAAGAAGCCCCCAGTTTACAGTACTGTACTGTAAAACACTGCGGTGAAAGTGAAAGCCCTGTGGTAAAACAACCATGGGATAAAGAATGTACAAAGATAAGATGCACAATGTCTGGTTATGCTCTCATCACCAGCAAGTCCACCCACAGACTTGCCACAGACTTACACAATGCTTTACATTGTGAGTTCAGTGCATGGGTTTTTTTTTATGGTAGAGAGTTTTACGGCGCTCGCAACTGCATAAGGTCATATGAGCGCCAAGGGATGGGTGTCAACAGAGAAGTCTTTACAGGGGAATCAGACTTAGACTGCTCACCTCTCTAGCTTCAAAGGCACAAGGTCTGCTTCGACTATCAAGGCACCCCAAAATAGCAGGTCACAAGAGAGTGACAAACATACAAAAGAAGTAGAGGAAAATGACAATAGCAAGGATCAGGAAAGAAAAAGCAACAGTTCCCTGTCATAGATCAGGCACAGTTATGAGCATGACATGAGTCAGCCCATTTACAATTCTACTATGCTTGAACGAGAAATGTCCCCCCTTTGGGAATGGCCTAAAAAGACACTTCAGTCAGTGGCACTGCCCCGGGGGGTGAGTTCAGTGTGGATCACCGAGATAGCTTGTGGTTTAACTATACACACCCACCTATCGTGGCAAACCAACTTGCACTGTCGTTACGAGTGACAATTCTTTTGCCCCTCGACTGCCACTCACGACTCACGAGGTCTTCCACGGTCCCTGGCTCACGCCTCGGCCTGCCCTTGCTATCTTCTTCAATGTCAAATACGTACTCGATTACTTTCCCGAAATCAACGAAGTAACCACATTTAGTCCTTCTATCATATACCGTGGCTTTTAAAGACAAGCCGGCTAACCCAGATTTCAGGGGTTTCCAGAAATCTTGACCTACACCAAAAGTGGGCAGTGCCTTACTTATAGGAGAAGTTTTGTTTCATTGGTGTGTATATTTGTTTGGTTACAGTAAGGTTGTTTTAAGCCCCTTGGTTATAGAGAAAACTCTCCTCGTTTTTTAATAAAACTGAACAAGGGGCAAAAACTTTACCTTTGATTATCTCAAAACAGCATTTTTCGGGATAGCATTGCCACCCTTGAGCTTAAAAGTGACCATAGAAAAAGTGGAGTCCTCACAGAAACCAAAATATGTTGGACCACATGATTTCTCCTTCGGTTTAGAGAAATTGCTAACACTTTCCAGTCACCCAGCCAGCAGTACAAAATACTCCATCTGGTCACCCAGCCAGGAGAATGACTGCAACGGACTTCTCGGCCCTGGTACAAAACTGCCTCTGCGCCAGGTGACCGGAACGGATGATTTTCTGCGTCGCATTATTGCGGCAAGTGACCGCAAAGTGTTAAATAGCGAAAAATTACACGTGTACACAATATTAACATTTATATATATATATGTGGTTGAATATTTAATTTTGGATTACCACTCTTTTCAGATCAACCACGTTCATGCCGAAAGCTTATTTCCAATAGGCCTACACTTGTCTGAAAGGAATTATAGTTCCGATTTTCCGCCAAAAATTTTGTTCATGTCCACATAAACTAAGCACATAAGAAAAAAGTATGACTACACCTTCCTGTGAACTGACTAGTTACATTCCCACGTCTGCTTGGGGGCAACAGATTTAATTTACAAAATGGCTCACAGCTACATACCAAGATTTTTTGAAATCTTAATCAAGGCACGTGATTCCATTTTCACCCAGTTGACAGACGTGTCAGTGCAAAAGACATGACATGCCATATGTACAAATGTGTAATATATATATATATATAGATAGATAGATAGATAGATAGATAGATAGATAGATAGATAGATAGATAGATAGATAGATATACATTTGTACATATGGCATGTCATCAGAACTATTTTGTCCGAAATGCCTCTTTACTTAAGTACACTTGGAACAAAATAGTTCTGAGGCGATGATACGTAGTCATCAATACGCAAAAGCAATTCATTTTTAAAGTGTATTAACATTTCAACCATGAAACCACGTGGTTTCCATAAACTGACTCAGCTCAGCCCCTAGTGCCGCTCATACAGGCTCTTATCTATAACTCCCTCTCTCACTACAATAATGTTATAATTGTACTGAAATCTTTTCCTTATATGTACGAATGTCGCTATGTACGTATTTAAATATATACAAAGCATTATATACATGTACCAGAAAAAATTCGGGAACTAAAAATGTGTTCGCTATGTGCTTGTGCCCATGACTGAGGTAAGACGGCACAACTTTAGCACAATGTGGAAACTATGGCCAGATGTGGATCAAAATTTCAAAAATACACTGACAAAAAACAAACAAACAAACAAACAACACACAAAAAACCCCCCACCATCGCATAAACTTAGCACACACAGAAAACCCCCCACCATCGCATAAACTTAGCACACACAGAAAACCCCCCACCATCGCATAAACTTAGCACACACAGAAAACCCCCC